TAGGTTCCTTGTAGATCCAAGATGTTAGGCCTTTGTCAGACCTGGAGTTGGCAAATACTTTTTCCCAGTCTGTAGGCTGTCTCCCTGCTCTCTTGATGGTTTCTTTGGCTTTGCAGAAGCTTGTCAGTTTAATGAGGTCCCACTTGTCTATCTTATCTCTTATGGCCTGTGGGTTTCGGGTTTTGTTCAGGAACTGGATGCCAGTTCCAATTTCCATGAGGGTATGTCCTTCATTTTCTAAGGTTCTTATGGTTTGAGGTTTTACATTTAGGTCTCTGATCCATTTAGAGTTAATTTTTGTGTATGGGGATAGATAGGGGTCCTGTTTCAATCTTCTGCATGTGGTCAGCCAGTTTTCCCAGCACCATTTACTGAATAGCTTCTCCTCTCCCCAGTGGTAAGTGGTGGAGGCTTTGTCGAAGATGAGTTGGTTGAGAAATTGAGGTTTTGCTTCTGGAATCTCAATTCTATTCCATTGATCTATATGCCTGTTCCTGTACCAATACCAAGCTGTTTTGATTATTGTAGCTTTATAGTAAAGTTTGAAGTCTGGTAATGTGATACCACCTACTTTGTTTTTTTTTTTTGCTGAGGATTGTTCTGGCTATTCTTGGTCATTTGTGTTTCCATATGAATTCCTGTGTTGTTTTTTCTAGGTCTGAGAAGAATGTTGCTGGTAATTTGATGGGTATTGCATTAAATCTGTAGATTGCCTTATGTAAGATAGACATCTTCACAATGTTGATTCTTCCAATCCATGAGCATGGAATATTTTTCCACTTGTTTGTGTCATCTTTGATTTCTTTGAGTAGTGTTTTGTAGTTTTCATTGTAGAGGTCTTTCACGTTTCTGGTTAGGAAGATGCCAAGGTATTTAATTTTTTTGGTGGCTATTGTGAATGGAATTGTGCTTTTTTTTTTTTTTTTAAGTTGGAGTCTCACTCTGTCACCCAGACTGGAGTACAGTGGCTGCTCCTGGCCACTGCAGCCTTGACCTGCTGGGCTCTGGCAATCCTTCCACCTCAACCTTCCGAGTAGCCAGAATTATAGGCATGCGCTACCATGCCCGGCTGATTTTTTGATTTATTGTAGAGATGAGGTCTCGCTGCCCAGGCGGGTCTCGAACCTGCAGGCTCAGGCAATCCACTCACCTCAGCCTCCCAAAGGCACGGGATTACAGGCTGAGCCACTGAGCCTGGCTGGAATTGTGCTTTTTATTTAGGTTTCTGTTTGTTTATTATTGGTGTAAAGAAATGCGATTGTCTTTTGCACATTTATTTTATATCCTGAGACTTTGCCAAAGTCCTTTATCAGTGTAAGGAGGTTTTTGACAGATTCTCTTGGGTTTTCAAGGTACACGATCATGTCATCTGCAAAGAGAGATAGCTTGACTTCCGCTTTTCCTATTTGAATACCCCTGATTGCCTTCTCTTCTCTGATTGCTCTAGCCAGGACTTCCAATACTATATTGAACAGGAGGGGTGAGAGTGGGCATCCTTGTCTTGTTCCAGTTTTCAGGGGAAATGGTTCCAGTTTTTGTCCATTTAGGAGTATGCTGGCTGTGGGTTTCTTATAGATGGCTTTTACTGTTTTGAGGTATATTCCCCGTATGCCTAGCTGTTCGAGGGTTTTTATCAAGAAGGGGTGCTGGATTTTATCAAAAGCTTTTTCTGCATCTAATGATATAATCATGTGGTTTTTTGTTTTGACATCTGTTGATGTATTTAATTACATTTATGGTTTTACGAATGTTGAACCAGCCTTGCATCCCAGGGATGAAGTCTACTTGGTCATGATGGATGATTTTTGAGATGTGTTGGTGAATCTGGTTCGCTAGGATCTTGTTGAGAATTTTAGCATCTATGTTCATCAAGGATATTGGCCTGTAGTTCTCTTTCTTTGTTGGGTCTTTACCTGGCTTGGGTATCAAAGTGATGTTAGCTTCGTAAAATGATTTGGGCAGAGTTCCATCTTTCTCAATCGCCTGGAATACCTTCAGTAGGATTGGTATAAGCTCCTCCTTAAATGTCTTGTAGAATTCTGCTGGAAAGCCATCTGGTCCAGGGCTTTTTTTTGTAGGTAGTTTTCTTATTATGTAGTCAATTTCCTTGATTGTTATTGGTCTATTTAGGGTCTCAATTTCTTCTTGTTTCAACCTAGGCAGGTTGTGTGATGACAGAAAGTCCTCTATTTCCTAAAGGTTTTCAAGTTTGTTTCCATACAAGTGTACATAGTAGTCTCTAATGATCTTTTGTATTTCTTCAGGATCAGATGTGACTTCATCTAGTGTTCCTGTGTGGAGTGGAGTGAATGTTGCTGGTGTCTCCTTGAAGAATCTGCACCCAGATTTAGGCACTGATACAGATAAGGAACAGTGGAAAGAGGTTCACAAACAGGTTGTTGAGAGTGCTTATGAGGTGATCAAACTGAAAGGCTATACATCCTGGGACATTGGACTGTCTGTGGCAGATTTGGCAGAAAGTATAAAGAAGAATCTTAGGCAGGTGCATCCAATTTCCACCATGATTAAGAGTCTTTATGGCATAAAGGATGATGTCTTCCTTAGTGTTCCTTGCAACTTGGGCCAGAATGGTATCTCAGACCTTGGGAAGGTGACTCTGACTCCTGAGGAAGAGGCCCGTTTGAAGAAGAGTGCAGATACTCTCTGGGGGATCCAAAAAGAGCTGCAATTTTAAAGTCTTCTAATATCATACTACTACACTGTCTAGGCTACACCAGGATTTTAGTTGGAGCTTGTGCATGCTGTCCTTTTCACTTGATCTGTGATTAAAGCAGTCATATTAAGATGGACTGGGAAGAACATCCATTCCTAAAGTTAGAAATAGGAATGGTTCATAAAAATTACAGCTATTTCCTGACACTGGATGGTACGTATCTTGTGTAGTCCTAAACTGGTTAGTATGAAATAGTTTACCACCTCTGAGGCACCACTGCCAATCTGCACACACTGCAGTTGCCCCTCAAATCAGATGCGTATTTACTGTGTGTCATATAACTTCCCGGTTCCTTCACTGAACATGCCTAGTCCAGCTGTTTTTCTCCAGTCGGTCACATCCTGGGATCCAGGGTATAAATCCAGTATTGCATGTCTTGTGCATAACTGTTCTGAAGGATCTTATTTTGTATGCTATTTGTATCAGGAGTGTACATTACCATATAATGTGAAAAGAAAGATCAATGCAACCAACTATCCAAGTGTTTCCAGGAGCCTTGTACCCCCAGGGGCTCAGCCAGAGGAGATCCTGGAAGTGGAACAGGGCTGGGGTCGCCAGCTTGTCCTCCTTCGGCCCAAGCCCACCCCTCCTTTTCCCTAGCTCATGAGGTTCGTTCTAGGAACACAGACAGTCTCCAGGGTGCATGAGTGGGCTTGGGCCAGAAGTCCCTCAGTGTCTGAGGAGCACTGTTCTTGGGGCCTGTCAGAAGGTCAAGGAAGTTCTGCTTGGGGTGGGAGGGGGCAGAGGCCCCAGATGTTAATATAGGAGACTGGTATCCTTCCAAGTCTAGAATTTGGAGTATGGAAAATTGTTGTGGTGTGTGGTAGGGTTTCTGTTTTCTTTTGTTTTGAGTTTTTATTTTTTCCTTTGGTCTCCTGGCTTTTTCCTTTCCCTTTCCTTTTCATTGGCCAGCTTGGGCCTCCTCCCTATGTCATCCCTCTAGGAAGGTGCCTGCCCCTTCTGTCCACCTGCAGCATGCATCCAAGGTCAGAGCACAGGCCTGCAGACTGGGTCAGTGTCTCCTCCGCCTCAGGGGCATGGGAGCTGGAATAGGCGCTTTTAAAAAATAATAAAGGAAAAAAAAGTAAAGTCTTTGGCAGTTTCTACACACTCAGATCCTGGAAGGCTGCATGGTCTTGCTCATCTAGATTTATTAGGAAGGTCTTCTTGCCAGCCAGGCTAGGTCCTGGACTTGCTGAGAGCAGAGGCCCTCCCAGCAACCGGGCTATCACCACTCCAGGGGGCTTTGTGTACAGACGCCTGGGCCTGAAGCCTTAGAGGCTGCAGCAATCTGGGGCAGCCACCATCAAGAAGCCCCTCTCAGGGGCCAGAACTCCTTTGCCAGCATGGATTCCTCAATTCAGAACTGCATAACAAAAGCAGTTGCAGTTTTATTTTTTTTACAGCTTTTTTTCCCAAAAATGATTTGTAGTCTCTTATCAACAAGGGTGCCTGAACGAAGCATATTTGTATACCTAACCCTTAACTGTACCCCACAATATCATAATAAAAAATGTTGATTAAAAAATTAAATTAAACAAACAAACAAACAAAAATAAACAACAACAACGAAATAAATCAATAAATCTGGTGGGGAGGACAGAACATAAACGCAACTTTAATTACCATTGCAAAACAATGATGGATGGAGATTCCTAACAGGAAGTGGGGAGCAATGCTCTGGGTCAGCTTCAGAAAGATGGATAGTATAATCTATCACCACCCATGCTGTGGCCAACACCCCCTCGATTTCAAAGCCTAAATGTCTTGTTTATTTCAAAATAGTTCTGAGTCATATTTTTTGATGTTTACAATTGATCTGGATTCTTGATTTTGTTCCAGGTTTAATTCTGTTAGTCTTTGGAGTTAAAATGCACACATTTGTATGGAGTGCTGTTTGAGATCATGTGTGGATATGGAGTATACTTGGGGTACACATTCTCTATGACTTGCTTATCTGGTTTAAGGAAAGAATAAACTTGTGTCTGAGAATAGAAGAGTTTTTCCCGGTCAAAAATGTGAAGAGAGACATGTCAGGCAAAGAGAACAGCTTGGGCAAATGGAGAGCAGAGAGGCCAGAGAGGGTAGTCAGAAGAATGTTTCATCAGAACTAAGACCCCCGTGTGCAGGGACGGAAGGTTGGAGGGGCCTGATGGAGATGTTGGCCATGGTGGGGAGCTGCTTGTCAGACAGTAAGCTAGCGAGAGACAAGGTCAGATGCTGGGAATGGTGTGGCTCACGCCTGTAGTCCCAGAATTTTGGGATGCGGAGGTGAGAGGATTGCCTGAGTCCAGGGGTTCAAGACCAGCCTGGACAACTTGGCAAGACCTCATCTCTACAATAAATAAAAAAATGAGCTGGGCATGGTGGCATGTACCTATAGTTCCGGATACTTGGAAGGATTGCCTGAGCCCCATGGGCTGAGGCTACGGTGGTCATGAGCGTGCCACTGCACTCCAGCCTGGACAACAGAGTGAGACTACAACTCAAAAAAACAATTAAGCTGGGCTCGGTGGCTCAGCCTGTAATCCCGCGCCTTTGGGAGGCTGAGGTGAGTGGATTGCCTGAGCCCGCGGGTTCGAGACCTGCCTAGGCAGCAAGACCTCATCTCTACAATAAATCAAAAAGTCAACCGAGCATGGTAGCGCATGCCTGTAATTCCAGCTACTTGGAAGGTTGAGGCAGAAGGATCGCCGGAGCCCAGCAGGTCGAGGCTGCGGTGGCCAGGAGCGGCCACTGCACTCCAGTCTGGGTGACAGAGTGATACTCCAACTAAAAAAAAACACAAAAAATTAAAAAGAGAGAGAGAGATCAGGTATATAGTTTAAAGAGGTTCCTCAGGAAGAAAAGGGAATAAATTGATGATTACACAAATTATAGGTGGCGTTTTCCCAGGCTGCACTGGGCACCTCTTTTGGGTCTGAATTTGATGGCCATCCTCCCACGTGAGACCACCTCCACAGGACCCTGCATCTGTGAGAAACATTTCCAGGCCTGGAAACATCTGGAAAGAATCTGGCCAAAGCCCTGGTTTCTCAGTGGGGCTGCATCTTTGACATCCCTTTCTTCTCCCCAACCCCAGGCCATGGACCTGGGCACCGGTGGTACATAGGGCATTAGGAACTGGTCACACAGCAGGAGATGAGCAGTGGGCCAGTGAGTGAAGCTTCATCTGTAGTTACAACCACTCCCCATTGCTCACATTACCGCCTGACCTCCGCCTGCTGTCAGATCAGTGGTGGCATTAGATTCTCATGTATTATAATGTAATAATAATAGAGGCTGGGTGCGGTGGCTCAAGTCTGTAATCCCAGCACTTTGGGAGGCTGAGGTGAGAGGATTGCCTGAGCTCAGAGGTTCAAGATCAGCAACAAGCCTGGGCAACTTGGTGCGACCTTGTCTCTACAATAAATAAAAAAATAAGCCGGGTGTGGTAGCGCGCGCCTGTAGTTCCAGCTACTTGGAAGGCTGAGGCGGAAGGATCGCCTGAGCCCAGCAGGTGGAGGCTGCGGTAGCCATGAGCGTGCCACTGCACTCCAGCCTGGAGTGAGACTCCAACTCAAAAAAAAAAAGAAAAAGAACAAAGAAATAAAGTGCACAATAAATGCAACGCACTCGAATCATCCTGAAACCACCTGCCCACCACCCCCCATCCGTGGAAAAATGGTCTTCCATTCTTTCATGAAACCGGTCCCTGATGCCAAAAAGGTTGGGGACCACTGCTCTAAGGGGTTAGTTACCTTGTCGACGAGTAGACCTCTCGCAGACTTTGGCTGGTGCTGGCGTTCACCTCTAGGTGGCAGCGTTAGCCTTTAAACCCTACAAGCGTCTACCCAAAGAGCGAAGGGAAGAGAACTCACACAGAGGGCTTACCAGGGACGAGCCAGGGGCTGTAAGCACTTTCAGAGCTGCACGACCACTCTCTCAGGCGCACATCGTATCTCCACTCTACAGTTGAGAAAACTAAGGCTCAGAGAGGTGAAGTTACTGGTCTGAAGTCACACAGATCGGTGGTACCTAGGGCATTAGGAACTGGATCACACAGCGGGAGATGAGCAGTGGGCCAGTGAGGCTTCATCTGTAGTTACAACCACAGTTGGCAATTAATTGACTTCTCCGACTGAGCCTCATGTTCCTCGTCTGTACAATGAGACTGACCCAGCCCTGGCAACCAGGAATCTATCTGCTTTTTGTCTGTATAGATTTTATTTTATTTTTTTTAGTTGGAGTCTCACTCCTGGCCACCGCAGCCTCGACCTGCTGAGCTCCGGCGATCCTCCCGCCTCAGCTCTCCAAGTAGCTGGAACTACAGGTGGGCACTACCACGCCCAGCTAATTTTTTGATTTATTATAGAGATGAGGTCTTGCCAAGTTGCCCAGGCGGGTCTCGAACCCGCGGGCTCAGGCAATCCACTCACCTCAGCTTCCCAAGACGCGGGATTACAGGCTGAGCCATCGAGCCTGGCTTTGTCTGTATAGATTTACGTGTTCTGGACATTTCACATAAATGGAGTTATGCGAATGTGGCCTTTTGTGTGTGGCTTCTTTCACTTAGTGCAATGTTTTCGAAGTTCTTCTATGTTGTAGAATGCATCAGTACTCCATTCCTTTTCATGGCTGAATAATACTGTATGGTATGGACGTACCACATTTTGTTGACCCATTTATCAGTCAGTAGGCATCTGAGTGGTTTCTACTTTTTGATTGTTATGAATAATGCTGCTACGAATATTTATGTACTCATTTTTGTGTGAACCTATGTTTTCAAGTATATACCTAGGAGTGGATTTGCTGGGTCATACGGTAACTCTGTATAACTTTTCTTTTTTCTTTTTTTGAGTTGGAGTCTCACTCTGTCGCCCAGACTGGAGTGCAGTGGCTGCTCCCGGCCACCGCAACCTCGACCTGCTGGGCTCCGGCGATCCTTCCGCCTCAGCCTTCTGAGTAGCCGGAATTACAGGCATGCATTACCATTCCCGGCTGATTTTTTGATTTATTGTAGAGATGAGGTCTCGCTGCCCAGGCAGGTCTTGAACCCACAGGCTCAGGCAATCCACTCACCTCAGCCTCCCAAAGGCACGGGATTACAGGCTGAGCCACCGAGCCCAGCTCTTTTTTTTTTTTTGAGTTGGAGTCTCACCCTATCGCTCAGGTTGGAGTGCAGTGGCACACTCATGGCCACCCCAGTGTCACTCCGCTGGGTTCCGGGGATCCTTCCGCCTCAGCCTTCCAAGTAGCCGGAACTGCAGGTGCACGCTACCATGCCCAGCTAATTTTTTTTTTTTAATTGTGCAGACGAGGTCTCACCAAGTTGCCCAGGCTGGTCTCGAACCCCAGGGCTCAGGCAATCCACTTGCCTTGGCCTCCCAAAGTGCTGGGATTACAGGCTGAGCCACTGAGCCCAGCCTTTGTTTTTTTAAACCACCAAACTGCACTCATTTATGTTCCCACCAGCAATACATGAGGGTTCCAATTTCTCCACATTCTGGTCAACATTTGTTATTGTCTACTTTTTAAAAGTATAGCCATTCTAGTGGGTGTGATGTGGTGTCTCGTTGTGGTTTTAAGTTGCATTTCCCTAATGACTAATGATGTTGAACATCTTTTCAGGAGCTTCTTGGCCTCTGTATGATTTTTTTGGACAACTGTCCATCTAGATTTTTTTTTTTAGTTGGGGTCTCACTCTTTCACCCAGGCTAGAGTGCAGTGGCACACTTATGGCCACCGCAGCCTCGACCTGCTGAGCTCAGGTGATCCTTCTACCTCAGCCTTCCAAGTAGCTGGAACTACAGATATGCGCCACCATGCCTGGCTACTTTTTTTATTTATTGTAGAGACAAGGTCTCATCAAGTTGCCCAAATTGGTCTTGAACTCCTGGGCTCAGGCAATCTTCTCGCCTCCACCTTCCAAAGTGTTGGGATTATAGACGTGAGCCATCACGCCCAGCTTATCCAGATCTTTTGGCTTCTCAATACATTTTGGTATGCATGCAGGCACACACACACACACAAACACACAGAGTACATTCACATCCCATATCAGATTCACTTCAACACAAGACAGCCATGATCAGCCCCATTTCTCAGGTGAGACAACTGAGGCCCAGAGTAATGCAATGTTATGTTAAGGGCACACAGCTTCTGGAGGGTCAAGGCTTGAAATTGTACTTATTTAACAAACAAGTTTACTATGTGCCAGTGGAAGAAAGCTTATGAACTAGGCTGGGGATGGTGGAGAACGCCTGTAATCCCAGCACTTCGGGAGAGCTCATCTTCCAACAGTTTTCCAATCAAAGTATTATTACTAGCAGAACTTTCTTGAAGCAACACCTTGTTTTTTGTTGTTTTTGTTTTTGAGTTGGAGTCTCACTCTTTTGCCCAGGCGGGAGAGGAGTAGCACACTCACGACCACAGCAGGCTCAACCTGCTGGGCTCCAGCGATCCTTCTGCCTCAGCCTTCCAAGTAGCTGGAACTACAGGTGTGTGCTACTGTGCCCAGCTAATTTTTTATTTCATTGTAGAGACGAGGTCTTGCCAAGTTGCCCAGGCTGGTCTCGAACTCGCAGGCTCAGGTAATCCACTTGCCTCAGCCTCCCAAGGTGCTGGGATTACAGGCTGAGCCACCGAGCCCGACCTCGTTTCTTTTTATTTTGAGTTGGAGTCTCACTCTGTCGCCCAGACTGGAGTACAGCGGCCACTCCCGGCCACCGCAGCCTCGACCTGCTGGGCTCCGGCGATCCTTCCACCTCAGCCTTCCAAGTAGCCGGAACTACAGGCGTGCGCTACCACACCCGGCTAATTTTTTTGATTTATTGTAGAGATGAGGTCTCGCCAAGTTGCCCAGGTGGTTCTCGAACCCGCGGGCTCAGGCAATCCATTCACCTCAGCCTCCCAAAGGCGCGGGATTACAGGCTGAGCCACCGAGCCCCGTTTCTTTTTTTAAATAACTTTTTTCTCCAATTACTAAAGTAATACATGTTTATTATATAATTGGAGCACAAAGAAGATGGAACAGAGATTTTTCTCCTTTCCTCCTCACAGCTCCCATTCGTTTCTCTGTGATTTGAGATTCCTGTGAACAGGTGACACATTGGGGAGTCCAGAACAGGGGGTATGTGCCCTCAGGAATCTTGTATCAAGTATTTTGTATTCTGATAAATAGGGCTTTGGGCTGGGTGTAGTGGCTCATGCCTGTAATCCTAGCAATTTGGGAGGCCAAGGCAAGCCTTGAGCCCAGGAGTTTGAGATCGGTCAAGGCAACATAGCAAGATCTCATCTCTACCAAAATAATAATAATAATAATAATAATAATAATAATAATAATAATTAGCTGGGCATGGTGGTGCACTCCTGGAGTCCCAGCTACTTGGGAGGCTGATGTGGAAGGATCACCTGAGCCCAGGAGGTCAAGGCTGTAGTGAGCCGTGGTTATGCCACTGCACTCCAGGCTGGGCAACAGAGTGAAACTTTGACTTACCAAAAAAAAAGAAAGAAAAGAAAAGGATTTTGAGCAGAGGGGACCTGAGGCATTTTTCTGGAGAAGAGAAGATACACAAGGGATGAGCTACGCCAGCCAGAATGAAAGTTTGCTTTAGTTTAGGGACTCTTCCAGGGCTGCAAGGCCTGCCTGAAACAGGGGCTCCCTCACTTACCATCTCTGTGGCCTCCGGCAAGCTACGACTTCCTTTTCTGGAAAATGGTACTAAGCACCTCAAACCATCCAGTCATGGGGCACACTCTTTCCAGCCCCAGCAACGTCAGCAGCACTTGGTTCATTAGCAGAATGTACCCTCTTTCCCATGGAGTTCCTAGCTCAAAATAGAACAGTGCCTTGGAAGACACAGATCTGAGTTCAGGTCCTGAATTCGTCTTTCACCAGTCCTTTTAAACATGTTTCGGCCTCAGGATCCTCATCTGTCCAAATTGTACCTGTGTTATAGGGTGGTTCGGAGGTTTCGGCAAAATAATGCATCTGAAGTACCAGGTGTTTACACCTGGAGTGTACTCAGGAAATGTGATCTATTCTTGTCATTTATGTGGACTTACTATGTGCCTGGCACTCCGAGGAGGAAGGCACAAAGGCGAAAACAAAGCCTGGGTCCTGCTCCCAAGGAGTCTGCAGCTTTGTTGGACGTCTGAGTTCAGAGTCTGCTCTTGCCACTTCATTTGAGTTGGGCCTTAAAGGATGGATCAGATTTGAGCACATGGGGATGGAGGGGAGGAGGGGCCTGGAGGATATGTAGCCATGGAGGCAAAGCCTGGGGGATGGGAGAGTGTAAGCATTACAGGGAAGTATTGCAGTTCAGGTCCTCTCCTGGTGCATTCCACACAAACCTTAGCTAAGATGCACGAACTGCCCAACTGTGTACCTGCCACCTCTCCAAGGACTCTATATCTAACACCTCACTGAGTCCTCACAGTAAACAGAGAGGTCACTTTTCCCACACCTGTTTCAAAGATGAGGAAGTTGAGACTCCAAGAGGTCCAGCGACCTGACCAAGATCACAACACCAGAACAGATAGGGCAGGAATTCAAGCTCAGAGAGGCAGACTTCAGACCTGCACCCTACACCTCTTCAGGAATTAGTCAGTTCCCAGGCAGTGAAACTCTGAAGCCAGCCCCAGCTGCCTGAAACTCAACCTCTGAGAGCTGGCTCTCGGTCCCCTTGCTGGCTCCCTTCTGTTCTCCCAGCCCCACCCTGCCACCCCCATTTCCCTCCCTGGCCTTGGGGCCCCGCTCCTTCCCCAAACCTGCTCTGCCACAATTCCTTCCAGGTTCCCTCATCTGTAAAATGGGGATAATAATAGTGTCTGTCTCAGAGCAGTGCTGTGAGGATCAGGGGAGATGTTCAAGGTGAAGTGATCCAGAGCCCAGCACGGGGTAGGTTCTCAATAAATATGAGTGATCACCATCACCACCGTCATCTTGACGGTGTCTGAAGTCGTGTGAGACAGGCTGAGTGGTAGCATTATAAGCGGTCGACAGCTGGGGAAACAGAGGTTAAGAGAGGCAGGGTAGCAGCCGTGCAGTGTTGCTCAGCTAGGAAGTCAGAGCAGGACTTAATCCAGGCCTCCGGACTCTCTGGCTTTGGATCTCATTAACTCCTTTGCAGCAGGGCAGATGAGTGAATCATGACCAGTATTAATTATCTAGCTTCTGCATGCCGAGCCAGGCCTTACATGCTTTTTTTGTTTTAATATTTAAATTTTATTTTAAAGATGTGGAGTACAATTCGGGATTAGGTTATACAAGTGGTCATCATACAGGTAAAGTTTGGGCCTCCCTTTGGTCTCCACTTTGCTTGTTTTGAGATCAGGTACGCTTATTGATGTTGTGTCCCCCCCATCCCCACTCCTACCCCGGCAGTATCCCACTACTGCCAATCCCTTTCTTATAGCACTATGGTAAATGTTCAGGGTTCCCTTATGAGGGAGAACTTGTGGTACTCTGTTCTTTGTTTCGCAGAAGGGACTTTCAAAGAGAGGTCTGACCTAGACCCTTGAAGGAACTTATAACCTAACTGATAAACAAGGAATGAAAGCAAAGCTTTGCTGATTAAGCTAGAACATACTAAGAGTCCGAAGAGAACAGAGGTACTCTGGCTGAAAGAGAGAAAGCAGGCAGGGAGGGCTTCCTGGTGGAGGTGAGGTTGAAGCTCGGCCTCAAGAGATCTGTGAGATATGAGAGTCAGAGGTGTGATAACAGCTACCAACTCTTGAGGCTTCTTATGAAACAGGTTCTGTGCTGAAAGCTTTTTATCCATTTTCTCATGAGATTTCCTCACGATCCTATGAGGTAAGTGTTATTAGAATGAGAAAATCAGGGATCAAGGATCAGAGAATTTACAGAATTTGTCAGGGTCCCATACCAGTAAAGTGTCAGAGCTTGAGTTTGAACCCAGGGCTGCTGGCTTCTAAGCCTGGGCTCTTAATCATCGTATGTTATTGCCACCTGGTCCCCAGCTATCTCAGGAGGAATTAAGCTGTGGACTGACTCTAGAGGGCTTTTAGTGCCAAGGCTCTGACTTGCTTATCAATCACACAGCACCCAGCAGGAATCAGCAGACCTGGAATCTACCAGCAGCTTTGCCACTCACCACCCAAGGTCACTTTTCTGAGCCTCTCTGACCTGGAGAGATGAGGAATGCAAACGAAGGTTTTTGAATGAGGCAGGGAGGTCTTTGTGAACCAAGGGTTGTTTAGGAGAAACCTGGAGATGTTCAAACATTGAGTGTCGGGTCCTAAGAATACAACTGTAACAAGACAGAACTCTGCACTCTGGACCCTCACCTCTGCTGTGCCTGCAAGCGGCAGGCACAGCTTGGGAGAGTGGGGGAGGAACCCTTTACTTGTCCCAGATTGACTGCCAGATTTCGGATCAGGGAATCTCTCTGTATGACCTTGGGCAAGTTACCCAGCCTTTCAGTCTCTCCACCTTTATCACGGGATCATCATTCCTCTTCCCAAGATGGTCGGAATACATTAAATAAAACAACACATTTGTAATGATCTAGCATGGTGCTTGGCATACTGTAGGCACTGAAATAGATTATTAGTTTTCCCTATGAAAATGTATAAATGTTGGCCTCCGCCCCTCAATCCCGGGCCAAGAAAGGGAACAGGTTCCTGGCCTTCATTTTAGCGGGGGTGGGGTGGGCACGGGATATAAACGCAAACGTGCTAAGCAACAATGCAAACTAACAAAAGGCCCTAGGGCCTGAGTCTGGGCTCAGGTCAAGACTGGCGCCAAAATGTTTCTCCCCATCGCCAGGGAATCTGGGCTCATCTCTCAGCGCGCTCGGCACCGCTCTGGCCGCCTCTGCGTTGCGTATTCCGGAACCACCCTCAGTCTCAGTTTCTTGGGCTGCTAGGGCCCGCGGGAGCCGGTGACACTGACAGCAGGTGTCGCGGCCCCTTTAAGCAGGGAGGCTCGTGTTGCAATCGCCGCCTCGAGGACGGGTTCTTTCCGGGGGGTGGAGCCTGGACCGTGGCATCAGCCAACCAAAGCGCGGCATTTTCCGCGGGAGATCCGAATTTCGCGGCACGCAGTTTGGCGCTAAAAAAAAAAAAAAAAAAAAAAAAAAA